GTCATATTTCACAGCATAATCTCCTCTAGGTTCATCCAGGTTGCCACAAATGCTCTTTCTCATGACTGAGTAACATTCTATGTACATATGTATGTATGTATGTATGTATGTATGTATCTATTATCTATCTATTATCTATCTGTCTAATATGACACAGCTTTTCTATCAATTCCTCATTGATGAGCTCCTAGGTTGTTTCTGTATCTGGGCTATTATGAATTGTGCTGCAATAAAGTTGGGAGAACAGATATTCATTTGGTTTCCTTCAGATATATACCCAGAAGTGGGGTTGCTAGGTATATGGTAGTCCTATTTTAACTTTTCTGAGGACCTTGCATATTGTATTCCACAGTAGCCATATCAATTTACACTAGAGGCCCGGTGCATGAAAATCATGCACTGGGGGGGGAGGGGCTCCCTCAGCTCAGCCTGTGCCCTCTTGCAGTCCAGGAGCCCTCGGGGGATATCTGACTGATGGCTTAGATCCGGGGGAGTGGGCCTAAGCCGTCAGTCAGACATCCTTAGTGCTGCCATGGAGTGGGGAGAGACTCTTGCCACTGCTGCTGCTCTCGCCAGCCGTGAGCCTGGCTTCTGGGAGTGCACTGACCACCAGGGGGCAGCTCCTGCATTGAGCATCTGCCCTCTGGTGGTCAGTGCATGTCATAGTGAGCGGTTGAGTGGTCTTAGCATATCATTAGCATATTACTCTGACTGGTTGAATGGACGACCGGACACTTAGCATATTAAGCTTTTATTATATAGGATTTTGGATATTAGCCCCTTATTGGAGGTATTTTTTGAAATATTCTCTCCTATTCTGTTGGTTGCCTTTTTGTTTTATTGATGGTTTTTTTTAGTGTGCAGAAGCTTTTTAGTTTGATATAGTTTCACTTTTACTTTCCTTGCCTTTGGGGTCAAATTAATAAAATTCTCTCTGAGACCAAGGTCCATAAGTTTAGTACCTATGCTTTCTTCTATGTATTTTGTTTCAGGTCTTATATTTAGGTCTCTGATCCATTTAGAGTTTATTTTTATGTATGATGTCAAATAGTGATCCAGTTTCATTCTTTTGCATGTAGCTTTCCACTTTCCCCAACTCTGTTTATTGAAGAGGCTTTCTTTTCTTCATTATATGGTTTTGGCTGCATTGTCAAAAATTAGTGGCTCTTAATTCTGTTCCATTGGTCTCCGTGTCTATTTTTCTATCATTACTGTTTTGCTCTTTGTAGCTTTGCAGTATTATTTGAAGTCAGGGAGTGTGATATTACCAGCTTTGTTCTTTATTTTTAGGATTGATTCGGCTGTTTAGGGTCTTTTTTGCTTCCATGCAAATTGAGGAATTTTTGTTTTATTTCTGTTAAAAATACCATTGTGATTATGATGATGGATTTCATTTTATCTGTATATTGATTTAATATGGCCATTTAAACTATGTTGAATCTTCCAATCCATGAATATAGAATATTTTTCTACTTATTTGTGTCTTCTTCAATATCTTTCAATAATGTCTTGTAGTTTTTAATCTATAGGTCCTTCTCATTCTTTGTTAAGTTTACTCTTAGGTATTTTATCCTTGTTGCAATTGTAAGTGGAATTTTTTTCATTTTTCAACTGAAATTTCATTGTTAGTATATAGATATTCAATAGAGTTTTATACATAGATTTTGTACTTTGCAGCTTTACTGTATTTGTTTATTGTTTCTAGTAGTGTGTGTGTGTGTGTGTGTGTGTGTGTGTGTGTGTGTAGTCTTTAAGGTTTTCTATGTTTTAAAAATCATGTAATCTGCAAAAAGTGATAATTTTACTTCTTCACCCCCAGTTTGGATGCTTTTTATTTATTTCTCTTGCCTGAATGCTCTGGCCAGGACTTTTATACTTATACACTGAATAGCAGTGTGAAAGTGAGCATCCTTGTCTTATTCCTGATCTTAGAGGAAAAGCTTTCAGTTTTCACAATTGAGTGTGCTGTTCGCTGAGGGTTTTTCATTTATGGCCTTTAGTATATTGAGGCATTTTCCTTCTATATCCATTTTATAAGTGTTGTAATCATAAATGGACGTTATATCTTGTCAAATGCCTTTCCTGCATTTATTAATATGATCACTGTATCACATTGATCAATTTGCATATGTTAAACCTTCTTTGTGCCCTGAAATGAACCCCACCTGGTCGTGATGTATTATCTTTTTAATGTATTATTATATTTGGGTTGCTAGTATTTGTTTAGGATTTTTGCATTTATATTCCTCAGAGATATTGGTTTATAATTTTCTCTTTTTGGTGTGTTGTCCATGCCAAGTTTTGGTAACAGGGTAATGTTGGCCTCATAAAATTAGTTAATAATTATTGCCTCTTCTTTAATTTTTTTGGAAGGGTTTGATAGCATAGGTTTTAGATCTTCTTTTATTGTTTGGTAGAATTCACTAGTGAAGTCATCTGGTCTTTGATTTTTACTTTTTGGGAGGATTTTGATGACTGTTTCAATTTCCTTACTGTTGATTGGTCTATTTAGATTTTCCAGATCTTCATGATTCAGTCTAGAAAGGTAATATATTTTTAACAACTTCTCAATTTCTTTTAGGTTATTGAATTTGATGGCATGTAGCATCTCATAGTATTCTTGTATAGTCCTCGGTATTTCTGTGATGTCTACTGTACCCTCTTCTCTTTCACTTCTGATTTTGTTTGCCTTTTCTCTTCTTTCTTTCATTAGTTTAGCTAGAGTTTTTCAATGTCGTCAATCTTTTTTTAAAATAATAATTTATTAAGTTTTAGAGAGAAAGGAAGGGAGAGGGAGAAACATTGGTGTGAGAGGATAACATCGATTGGCTGCCTCCTGCACACCCGCTACAGGCATGTGCCCTGACTGGGAATTGAAAGATGCCTAATCAGTTGAGCCACACTGAGCAGGGCAATTTTATCAATCTTTTAAAGAACCAGTTTTTTTTTGTTTGTTTGTTTTTTTTGCATTATTTTTTTTCTGTTTGCCTCTTTGTTCCCTATTTTTTATATTGTTCTCTAATTTTTATTTTTCTCATTTTTGGCTTTATTTTTTTCTAGTTCTTTAAGGTGAAATATTTGGTTGTTAACTTGAGATAGGCCTCTATTGATATAAACTTCCCTTTTATTACTGTTTTTGTTGTATCCCCCAACTTTTGATATGCTATATTGTCATTCTCATTTGTTTCTATGTATCTTTTTGTCGCTTTGACCCGGTCATGGTTTAGTAGTATGTTAGTTAAATTCCACATCTTTGTATTTTTTCCTCACTTTATATTTTTTAATTTATTTTCCCCCCCTAATCCTCAGGATATTTTGAAAGAGAGAGAGAAAGATGTGAGAGAGAAACATCAATCGGCTGCCTCTTGTACGTGCCCCATCAGGGGATCAAACCCACAACCCAGGTATGTGCCCTGACCAGGAGTCAAACCTGCAACCTTTTGGTGCACGGGATGACACACCCACCACTGAGCAGCCCAGACAGAGCTTCCCTGCTCTATTTTTGCAGTTGACTTCCAATTTCAAAGCATTGTGGTGGGGGAATATGCTTGGTATGATTTTAATCTTAAATCTATGGAGGCTGGTTTTGTGTCACAACATATGGTCTACTCTTGAGATAGGTTCCATGTACACTGGAGAAGAATATGTAACTTGGTGTTCTGGGATGAAAAGCTCTGTAAATATCAATTATGTCCATTTGATCTAATGTATCACTTTAGGCGAATATTTTCTTATTGGTTTTCTGTTTGGATGATCTATCCACATCTGTCCATGGATTCTCTAATAATTTAGTGTAGTGCTCAAAACAAGCTGGTTAACTGTATTATTCAAATGTTCAATACCCTTACAAACATTCTGTCTTCTTGATCTATTACTAAAAATGATATAATAAAATCTCTTCATATGGCGTGGTTTATAATTTTTTCCTGTACTTCTGTTAGTTTGTTTTCCTTTTTGCAGCGTAAGTCTATGTAAAATGCATATTAGTAGCTCTTTTTCCCCCTTTTAAATGAATTTTTCCTTTGTTATTACATAATGACTTCTTTTTCCCTTTTAATGCCTTTTGCCTTAAGTATTTTTACCTGATATGAATAAGATATCCAACTTCCCTTTGGTTAGCTTTCTTGGTATAGCTTTACCATTCTTTTATGTCATTATAGTTTAGGTGTACCTCTTGCACGTGTGAGATGTTAGGATTTGTTATTTTTGTTTTTGTTTTTTGTCCATTCTGAGAGTCTCTGTTTTTAATGACTTAAGACATTTAGACAATTGTTGTAGTTACTCCTATAATTTGTGATTTTTATTTGCTTCTTATGTCTTCTTTACTGAAAGTGGTTTGATTAAAATCCCTTTATTTCTGTTGCGCCCCTACTACAATTTAGAAGTGATATGTTTTGTACCCATTATTTTTAGCAGTTACACCTAAGCTTTAATCATGTATGCTTATATAGAAAGTGCAAAATATTCAATATCTCTATTATTTTGCAACTCAATACAAGAATCTTACAACTTTTATTCTATTCCCCTCCTCACCTTAATATAATTTCTGCCTCATATTTTTATATATCTTGTTTACATGCACAGTCTCACTACAATTATTAATTATTTTGAAACTCAATGGTTTGCTTAAATTTTTCTACAGATATACCAGTTTCTTGACTGCTCATTGCTTCTTGGATATCACTCTTGTGTGGATTTCATTGGTTTTATCCTAAAGTAAATCTTTACTAGTTTTTATCTTCAGCAAGGTTTCTTGCATGATACACTCTCTCAATCTTTGTCTGAAACAGGAATGTTTAGGGAAGCATCTTGGAACCACGTTTTGACATATGAGTTGCTTTAAACACTTCATCAATAGTCTACGATACAACAAATACATAAATTGATATCATAATTAACCAAGAAGGGCAATTGAGTGTAATCTCATCTAATTTTCCAAAATCATCTCTATAGCGTTCACCTAACTTCCCCCTTTCAATACTTCCAGAGGAATTATACCCATGGAACCAAGGAACCAAACCAGTATATCCGAATTCATCCTTCTAGGACTTTCAGAAAAGACAGAAATGGAGCCTCTCCTCTTTGCTCTGTTCCTTGGCATGTATGTGATCACGGTAGTGGGGAACCTGCTCATCATCCTGGCCATCAGCTCAGACTCCCACCTCCACACTCCCATGTACTTCTTCTTAGCCAACTTGTCCTTGGTTGATTTTGGCCTGGCCACCAACACTGTCCCCAAGATGCTGGTGAACATTCAAACTAAGAGCAAATTTATCTCCTATCCTTGCTGCCTGACCCAGATGTACTTTTTCCATTTTTTTGGCATCGTTGACAGTGTCTTAATTGCAGCAATGGCTTATGACAGGTTTGTGGCTATATGTCACCCCTTACACTATGCCACCATCATGAGCCCGCGCCTTTGTGGCCTGCTGGCTGGTGGTCCATGGGTGTTTTCCTACTTTATCTCTCTCACACACATCCTCCTGATGGTGCACCTGGTTTTCTGTGGCAACAAGATTCCTCACTACTTCTGTGACCTCAATCCCCTTCTCAGACTTTCTTGCACTGACACTTCTGTGAATAAGATCTTTGTGCTCATTGTGGCCGGGATGGTGATAGCCACACCTTTCCTCTGTATCCTGGCTTCCTATGCTCGCATCATTGTGGCCATCATGCAGGTTCCCTCGGCAGGTGGCAGGAAGAAAGCCTTTTCCACCTGCAGCTCCCACCTGTCTGTGGTTGCCCTTTTTTATGGGACTACCATAGGGGTCTATTTGTGTCCTTCGTCAGTCCGCACAGCTGTCAAGGAGAAAGCCTCTGCTGTAATGTACACTGCAGTCACCCCCATGCTGAACCCCTTTATCTACAGCCTGAGAAACAGAGACATAAACGGGGCACTAAGGAAGCTCATCAATAGAAAAATTACCTCATCTTCCTACCCACCAGGACACCTGGGAGTTTCTGGGTAATAAGATGCAAACATCTGGATTCTTGGGCAAAAATCTGGAATTTTTGAGTTGGGAGAGTAACCACTTTGAATTTTAAATTGCAGAAAATTGAAAGGAAACCTCAAGATGACCCTGTCACTATTTTCCCAATTAGTGAGACCAATAAGAGTCCTTTTGTGTATGTCTTATGCCATATTTCCAGAAGAATCAGTCTAGTTCTACCAGATTGGATTTACCATGGTTCAGAATCCATTTAGCACTCAGCAAATGCTATTGGGTACCTATTATGAGCTTGATGTAGGTGCTGGCCATTGTGTGATGAGCAGGAGAGACACATGACCTATAGCTTGGAAGATCCCAATAATTGAGTGTGGAAGAAGACATTAGATGTAATCCTATATAATAAAAGGCTAATATGCAAATTGACCGAACGGCAGAACTACCGGTCGCTATGACATGCACTGACCACCAGGGGGGCAGATGCTCAATGCAGGAGCTGCCTCCTGGTGGTCAGTGCACTCTCCCAGGGGGAGCACCGCTCAGCCAGAAGCCAGGCTCATGGCTGGTGAGTGCAGCAGCAGTGACAGGAGCCTCTCCCACCTCAGAGGCAGGTGGACATCCCCCGAGGGGTCCAAGACTGAGAGAGGGTGCAGGCTGGGCTGAGGGATCCCCCCTACACCTCAGAGCACAAATGTCATGCACCGGGCCTCTAGTTATAATAGAATGGAATATATACGTGAAGGGAAGGATAGAATGTAGCAGGAACACTTGAGAGAATCTGGAAGGTAGAGTCTCATCTCAAAGGATAAGATGGTGTTATTGAGGCAAATACAAGGAGTAAGAGTCTCAGACAAAGAAACAGTATGTGAAATGTGAACGAGCAAGAGAAAGAGAGAGAAGAATGCATTTGTGAAGTGGAAAATCCAGTTTTGGTGACTGGCTTGGGAAATGCCACATCAAGAAGAGCTTTAAGGTCAACCCAAGAGTTCTGTCTTTCCAATAATGACCAGGCCATTAATTTGACTTTCAGAAACAAAAGTCAGGGAGGATGTGAATGAGATGTATGTTCCCCCTCCCGCCTCAATCCTACCTTGTCTTCTGGGGAGGTGGGATGGAGTGTGCTGGGGAAAAGTTGTGGAAGGCACAGGGAGAAAGGGGTTCAGACCATGCACTAAGAAACGGAGGAACCACCACCTGATGGCACATAACTTCATAGGCAAGGATAGGAAGGGTGATACCAATCAACCGAGTCATGATTCTCTAAATCAGAGGGAAGCTGAGGCATGTCTCAATCACTACATATTTGTGTGGGATGCATTTAAGTAGTAGCACTGCTTATGACAGAAATGAGAGCTATTCATTTTGAGTACATCTTGTGCCACACACAATATTAGTTTTCTTTGCACTAGTTTCATTTCCTTATTCTAAAGTCCCCATGAAGGCAATAAATTATATTTATGTCTATTCTGAAGTAATCCTCATACTCATATGGATATTTACAACTAAAATGGAAAGTGCAGTGACTTTCAATGAGGTCAGAAATTTTCAAATGGTGCTAAGAAGGTGACATCATCTTAAGCAGAAAGACCTTGAATAATCATATATTTAATTTACTTATGCTACTTTCCTTCCCGGGAGGATTACATTAGACTTTCTCAGTTAAACAATGAGAACTCCAGACCTGGCCCTGTTGTTGGTTTAAAAAAAACCCCCACGAAGCTTTCTGGTGGATATTCTGGTGACTAAAATCCACAATCTAAGAGTATTGGTGCTTGCCATGGGTACCCACCCCATGATTATGGTAAGAGATTTTTATTGGGTGAAAGCTGACCAGGTAAGTTCCCTGGTCTCCTGCCAGATGCCTGCAAGTAGTTAATGTGCAGACAGGAGAGGGTTGGAATGGCCGGAGGCCTGGAAAACTATTCGAATTTGGGGGCTCACAGAATTTTGGGAAAACCTTTCTCTCTTATCCAGTTCTTTAGCTCCCTCCCTCCTCTGTGCAATGACAGATGCCTAGTGCTAATAAAAATCTCTTAAGATTCTGTCAGCCAAACTACTTCTGTCTGGTTTAGTGTTAAGAAGTTAAGGCCGCGACTCCAGAAGCGGTTTGTCCTGGTAGCCTTTACAATATCAACTTCCAATATTTGTTGGCATCAACAAATATTTGATTCACTCACTCATTCAATCATTCATTCAACAAATATTTGCCAGTGTCTACTCTATGCAAGTTATTGTTCTAAGCACTGGCAATAGAGCAGTAAGCAAAAGAATAAAAGTAGTCATTTTCTGTGACTACAAAGTTTTAGTACAAGGGAGTTTTTTTTGGGGGGGGGGGGGAGTAGAACTACTCTGTATCCTGATATCAGAGCAATGACTTTGAAGGTGCCAAAAAATTTAAATAGTGTTCTATCTCCCCATATCCCATAAAAATATACGTGGAATAAAATTCCAAGTACTATACACCATAAGAAAGGTGATTTTACTGATATCAGTTTAAAACATAAAATTAAACAATAGAAAACAAAGCAAGCATTCCCAGTCCAGCAGGAAAAACAACAATATTAAAAATAGCTATAAATAAAATATAAATATGAATATAAATACCTTTAAATGTGAAAATAATTACCAATGGTGAGAAGGACTTCAAAGGCATCAGGGAGGATGATGTGAAAGAAACAGATGGAAGGTATTTTATTTTTATTTTTTAAAATATTTTTTTATTGATTTCAGAGAGGAAGGGAGAGGGTGAGAGAGATAGAAACATCAATGATGAGAGAGAATCATTGATCGGCTGCCTCCTGCATGCCCCCTACTGGGGATCGAGCCCACAACCCAGGCATGTGCCCTTGGCCGGAATTGAATTTGGGACCCTTCAGTCCACAGGCCAATGCTCTATCCACTGAGCCAAACCAGCTAGGGCAGGTGGACGGTATTTTAATCTGGGGATTTCTGAGGGCAGTCAGTCTCTGTTAAGATAACTTCTGAGTTGATTCACTCACTCATTCAATCATTCACACCAAGAAGGACATATTCCTGGGAAGGAGGTGACAAGAAGGGAACTGCACAAGCAAAGTCAGGAACAGTATTTAATACGTTTTAAAGAGTTGTCTATGTTTTTAATATGTATATTTAGATTTGATCCTTTCTCAAACTTGGAACAAAATCCTGCAAGCATTTTAAATCCAATGTATAACTCAGGTTAAAAGAACCAGCAGTTCAGAAAAAGAGAAAAATCAATAAAACAAAACAGCAACCAACAAAATGGGAGAAGATATTTCAAACAATACCTCTGATAATGGGCAGATATACAAAATATATAAAGAACTCATACAACTCAACAGCAGAAAAACAAACAACCCAATTAAAAAGTGGTCAGAAGACCTGAATAGACACTTCTCTAAAGAGGACATACAGATGGCCAATAGACATATAAAAAGTTGTTCATCATCACTAATCATCAGAGAAATGTAAATCAAAACCACAATGAGATACTACTTGTCAGAATGGCTATCATAAATAAATCAACAAATAGCAAGTGTAAATGGAGATGTGGAGAAAAGGGGACCCTAGTGTGCTGTGGGTGGGGATGCAGATTAGTATAACCACTAAGCAAAACAATGTGGAAGTGCCTAAAAAAAAATTAAAAATAAAATTGCTTTATGGTCCAGCAATTTCACTTGTAGGCATATATCGGAAGAAACCCAAAACACTAATATAGGCACTCCCATGTTCTTTGCAGTGTTATTTACAATAGCCAAGATATAAAAGCAAACCAAATGCCCATCAATAGATGAGTAGATTAAAAAAGCCATGGTACATGTATACAAAGGAGTACTTCTCAGACATAAAAATGAATGAAATCTTCTCCTTTGCTATGGCACGGATGGACTTAGAGGAAATTATGTTAAGTGAAATAAGTCAGACAGAGGAAGACAAATACAATGATGATTTCACTTATATGTAGAATCTAAAGGACAAACTAGAAACAGACTCATAGATACAGACAACAGACTGACAGTTGACAGAGGGGAGGGGGCCGGGGACTGGGTGAAAAAGGGGAAGGGATTAAGGAGTACAAATTGATAGTTACAGAATAGTCATGGAGATGTGAATTACAGCTTAGGAAATATAGTCAATGATATTATAGTAACTATGTATGGGGCCAGGTGGGTACTTTAAATATCAGGGGGAACATTTTATAAAATATATGATTATCTAAGCACAATGCTGTACACCTGAAACTAATAGAGGATAATATTGAACACATTAAAAATCATTAAAAAACATTTCATATAATACTGGTGATGATGAACTCCTTTAGCTATTTCTTGTCTGGGAAGCTCTTTATCTGTCCTTTGATTCTACATGATAGCTTTGCTGGGTAGAGTAATCTTGGTTCAGACAGTTCCATCACTTCCTTGCTATATGACCTTAGGCCATTATCTTGTATCTTCTGCACCTCAGTTTCCACATCTGCGAAATGAGGTAACAATAGTACCTGCCTCACAGCTTTGGGTAAGGAATAAAGAAGGTTATTATGTGTAAAATTATAAGGACAATGCTGGACACTTAGTAGTTACATGGGCAGCAAATTATAACAATTATTGTCATTATTATTGTCATTATTATTATTATGTACTTTTCTGTGATCACTTGAAATTTGTGTTTACTAAACAGTGCAGCATTGTAAACCAGGAAATGCAATACGTAAACATTCCTTCATATATGAACTGAATATAAATAATATCATTTAAATAAAAATATTTTTTCATTATTTTAATTCATTATTTTAATTTATTTTTGAGTTTGTTGAGCTGTAATTGGGAAATAACATTGTAAGATAAATTCATTCTTTTAAAATTGTTCCTTGTTTTAAAATTAAAGATAATATTAATTTTATCTTTAATCGGATGGGATGGCAATATGTTTTGAAAGAATAAAAAACAAGATGTTTCATTAGTGATATGACTTAGTGGTTTCCTAAACTGTACTGTCTGCAGATATTTCCTTTTTATTAAAAT